TTGTGATGAGGTACACGGAGCCAAAATATTTCCTTGCCTCCTTCTCCAGTTGTCAAAATCCCATCCATACCATCAAATGCAACTTAAGTGTTACTTCCTCCAGAACGTCTTTGGCAAACTAGGAGATAAAATTCCCCTGACTTCTCAAAGTTTGCTTTCTTATCTCTTGGCACAACACACACTCAGCTGCATGTAAATGTGTACACGTTTAATGTTCCTGCAATATTAAAAGTCCAGCTCTTTTCACTTACTGTTATCTTCTACTGGGTCCAACAAAAGATTATCTTCTAATCGGTCCTTTTATGAGTGATACAATGCATCACACATTAAAGATGCCAGATGGCTCATCAATAAATAAATGAATGGATGTGGTAGACAGTGTAGGGCCAACCAAAGAATTATACTTGATCTTGTTTGTCTTTTCTAGCTATTTTTCCTTTTGTTTCTATCATAGTACCTTGAACATAGCTGTTTCACGTGTTTGGCGATATAATTGTTAATGTTATATATATAGACTTAATGTTTCTTTAAAACTAACAAAGAGTAAAGTAAAGTTATAAAAGAAACTGGAAAATAGATGGTTTTTCATTATTTTTTTCTCAGAACACATGTTTCAGCTACAAATAAGTTGATCTTGATAGACTAAAATGCACTTTATAGAGATGCAGAGAGGTTTGAATCAATTTAGGTAGATTTTGGACTTCAGTATACATTGGTTGGTCCCTGGTCTTGTCATTTACTATCTGTGTGGATGTGGACAAATCAGTTGACCTCTGTGGAACTCAAATTCATTGTCTGTACGATAAGTTTACCAATATTAACTCACAGGTTAGTTATATTAAATGGAAACTTTATATAAACAACCTCACAATAGAATAATAAAATTGCTTTTATTTATTTCTGTTATTTTCCATCCTCTTTCATTAGTGACTTTAAATTTTCTTATATGTTAAATCTAACTAAAATGCATACTGTCTTCATTTTGGTCACACAAAATTAAAGTTGACACTCAAATTTTAATATGCACAATGCAATCCAAATGAAATATTTGCAAAGCATTTAAGAAGTATCTAGTATTACTGGTGTTTTGGACATCTGTTGCTATTCCTTTTCCTTCTAGGTCAAAATGGTGCTTTTGTTTGTTTGGGAAATGACCGAAAGCTTCTGGGGCTATGGTAGAGGATCAGTGGTCATTTCTGCAACCTCCCCATGCGTTATCTACAGGGCAGGCACGCTCCTAAATGGGCTAACTGGGTTTTTCTCTAGGATTTGTCAAACATGGAGTGCAGTTAGAGCCTCTCTTACCCTGAAGGAAGTCGAGAATCTTTGAGCCTGGGCATGGTTGACCATCATAGATTTCTTTTGGAAGAAAGGCCCAATTACTCATACACAATAGTGTGGATCAACAAAGTCTCCAGTTTCGGCTAAACTAGCATGAGTTTGACTTTCACGCTAGTAAAATATAAGCATATATGAGCAGTGAGGCACCTGGGATTAGCTGTGTTCTGCGGCCTCCTCCCTGCTCGACCTCTGCATTTTAGTATAGGACCTCCCTGGTTAATCATGGGCCCTAAGGGAAGAGCACTTAGGTCTGAGCACTGCATAATTTACTAGCTTCTGTTTCACAGTTATAGGCTATCCTTAACTTCAGTCAGAATTTGGTAAATACTAGGATTTTGTATGGAGGGGGAGACCAGGTAGGAGAGTGTAGCCAGATCAGTCATCCCTTTAGCATTTTCAGAAAAACAAAAACAAATACAAATACAAAAACAAAACCCTCGAGAGCACATGCTTTCTTCTCACAGAATCACTCTGAGCACAGTCAACATTGGCCCACCAAATTCTTCTGCTGTGCGTTAAGCAGTGCGTCAGTGGGTTTGACCTTAATAAGAAATCACCTCTTATACCACCACTCAGGGACATTCTCTATTAATTTTTGGCATATATTCTTCCAACTATTTTTCTATGCAACAATATTTTAACATATCCAACCCTGTATCCTTTCCATATTTTCTCTGGACAAATTTAAACATTCTGCTGTTTTGTTTTCTCCTTCCTATTGCTTTGATGTCATAGATAAAGCTGCCGTGACATTTTACCATTATACCTTTGATGCTGTATTTCAGGGAACACAGAGCATTGATACCATGTTTGTTGTGGGATTTACACCAAGGTAATTGATAATCCAAGTACTTGACCCCATTTTTGTTTTCCTGGATATAGAGTAAACTTTTAGGATACACTATAATTTGAGATGATCAGATCAGAGATGGCACTTGTGTAGCAGTAGAATCAGGTGTTAATATGCCTGATACCTGAAAAAATTATTGTTAGTTTCTGGGTAAAAAGAAAATCCAGAAATATAAAAATTAGTCACAATGGCTAGACTTCCAATCTTTTCACACTGTCCGAGCTGACAGCCCATCCATATTCCAGAGGGAGCCGGTGCTCATTTTTCTGTCAGGTTTCCCTTCACCACCTAGAGGATCTGCTTTGTCAAACAACACAACAGAAGCACAGTGGTTTGGCTCTGGAGTTGGAAAAGATAGTAGTGTTTCTCACTGTAGTAGAGGAAATAACAAGTACAAAGGAGTTGAAATTGAAGACCATGTCATTAAAAAAAAGATTAGAATGCAATTAACATGTGCCACTTTGACACCAGACACATGTGGCTCCTCTCTTCACCTGATCAACTAATGTCAGGCCCTTCAGTCCAGGGCCAGTGCAGAGACACCCGGCCCCTGCTGCGGTCACCTGATTATGTCTCTGACTCCCCACAGCATTTGGGGTATTATCTTATAGCAAAGTTCTTTTCACTGAACTTTGAAAAGAAGTCAGATCAGAAAACTCTGATATCTTGGGAAGAATGGGGTGGTAAAATGAGAAAATATCAGTAAAATATTTTATATTATTCATTTTGAAAAGACTTGGCTTGGAGCTAGTGAGAAGTGTAAGATCACAGAGATAAAAGCTCCATTTGACCTTAATATTTTTCAAGACACAAATGCAGTTTAAATTCACACAGCAGGTAGGGGAGGATGGACTAGGCATACAACAATAGAATAAAAAATGTTTGTTTTTGTTTTATGTTTTTGAGATTGGAACCTGATAAAACTTTCTGATTTGCTAACTTTGAGAGGGTGGTCTTGTTTCCAAATTAATGGTTATTTTTTACTTTGAGAAGTCCATCTGTGACAAGAAAAATGATAAAGGCTTTTGGAAAGACAGTTAAGAACAGCATAGGCCCCAACTTGATAAAACTTGGTCTTTGTTCTTTGGACTATAATGTGGTCTAATTGGACTCAGGCATTTACAGAGCAGTTTTGAAATTATCTTATCCAATGGCTTTTAACTGGGCGACAGAAGAAGGCAAAACTGGACACATTCTCCTTCTCTTGCTGAGGACTACAGACCTATTCTAATTTTATTTTATTTCAGGTGGCAAAAGCAAAGACCCAAAGGAATAGATCAAACGCACAAGGCCACCGTGTCATTAGTGAGAGAACAGGACTAGAACAAGAAAGGACTCTTCTCTCAGGAGATCATCCTTCCCACCTTGCACCGAGAATCCACACAGACACTGCAGCACGGAAGCAGACTCCCTACCAATGGTGTGGCCAAGAGCTTCTTCTAGTTTCATCTCTGAGTTATATCGGCTTCAACCCTTAGTGTCTCGGCTTCTAAACTTTTCTTGAGCTGGACTCAGATGTGGTGAAAGTGGATTTATATGTGAGACTACAGGCAGGTCTTATCTGTTGGAACAACTGCAAGCAACTGGGGGTGGTTGAGAAAGACCATCAGGCCCCATATAATTCAACAACAGTGCCATGTACAACCAACGATATCCTCCTGTGTGACGGATGAGCAGGTATTGGTGTTCTGACTTATATCTATCCCTCAGCTCTGGAAAAATCTGATATTTATCGAGACAGGAAATACTAGAAATGCTGTTGACAGGATGGAAATGAAATGATTCAAGGATTGTTCTCTTCAAGTGGGATGCCCTTATTGCTCCAACCACTAATACTACTTAGGAATGTTCTCAGTTTACTTTAAGGAAATATCCACATAAGTATACTTTGAATTATCCATGATAATGGTGGTAGTGATAAAGGGAGGAAAGGATAAGGATATCCATGGTTAGTTTGAACTACATTTTCAATATTTATAATAACTTTAGGAGGGGCTTGTGGAAATTAGTTTATTAAGATCTCAAGTGAAAAGAGATGGCAATATGTCAGCATGTTCGTAATTGCACTATTTGTAACAGCTCCAAGCTGGAAACTTCTCAAGTGCCTATCAACAATGGAATGGACGGATTGTCAATAGTCACACATTAGACTATTGTTCAGCAAGGAGAATAAAAGATCCACAATCAAATGCAACAATACAGATAAATCTCACAAATGCAATGCTGAGTGAAGAAACCAGGAGCAAAAGAATACATGCTGATTGATTCTATTTACATAAAAGACCAAAACAGGCAAAACTAATGCCTGGTATTAGAAGTCAGGACAGAAGCTGCCCCTGGAGGAGTAAAGTGATGGTGGGAGAAGGGGTTTTTGTTTCTAGGTGCTGGTTACAGGGCTGTGCTCCATTGGAGAAAGTTCAGTGATCTGTACGCTTATGCTTTATGAAATTTTTGTATGTATATTTCAGTTAACTTTTTTGAAAAATGGTAAACAGGCATTTTTCAAGAAGTAGGAAAACCAACACTCATATTTTGGATAGGAATTCCCTCACTTTCATTTTTGTTAGGAAAAATAAGGATTTTTGGAAGTGTACCTCTTTTATAAAATATGAATCAAGTAATGAAAACTAAACTAGGAAAAGAAAGGAATATAAAATCCTCAGGAGATGAGCTCCTATCAGGGACTAAACAGTCCCCCTCCCGAGCTCTACATGAGTTAGAATTTTAGAAGCAGGTCTATGGGAAGCATGAGCCTCTCATTTCCATTCAGAAATGCACTTTCCAAAGCTAGACTCTTGACACAATAGGGTTAGTAAGTAATGGGCTTTCAATTTCAATTTATTATCAAAATATTTCCATCAGATGACAAGCCTGGAAAGATAAGGGGCTGCAGAGCTACATAGATGTCATTTTCCCTTTTGTAAAAGCCACTTCAGAGAAAGATTAATTTTGAAAATCCTTCTTGTAAACCATAAGCCTTATATGACTTTAGACAACTTTCCAGTGGCAATTTTTAACCCAAAGTTTGTATGTACTTAAAGCTTTCCATCAATATGATTTATAAGTTTAAAAAGTCTCAAAGCTTCATCTGTATATCACTTAACAGATCGCAGTTCATAACTGTCTGAAACTTCAATATTCAATGATTACCTATAATAATTACTTAGTCATAAATGTAGTTAATTATTAAATATAAAAATTATTATTTATACATTACTACAAATCTCTTAAAAAGACCAAGTTTTGAGAGAGAGAACAGGAAACTGCTTAGAAAATGGCAGGGAGCCTCAAAATCTCAATATCAGTCCAAGCAGGCACAACAAAAAACGATTTTAGACGTTCTTTAGCCCTAAGAGTGCTTAAAATAAAATGATCTCAGAATGAATGACTGATGATTGGAAAAATTAGTTTAAAATTGCTTAAGTCCCAAGGCCCCAAATTGCATAAGAATTCTTTGGAAGAGTTTTGAAGAAGCATAAATGTTGCAAAAAAAGTAAAACTAAATACTTAGGCAGTGTGTTTTTAACTCTCATATCACTGTTATGCTTTCAATGTTAACTGTATTCTTTAACCTCTCCTTTCTCCCCTACATGAGAGATACCTGTCTACATCAAGTGGCTAACACTGTTTTCAAAAGACAAATCAAACTTGCAGATCATATGAGAAACAGAAATGAACAGTAATACTAATCTTTAGAGATGAAGCATTATTTATACATTGAGAAGTGATCGATTTGATAGACATTAGACCCCCTCGTCCCACTACACCTTTTCCAGAATAACCTTTCTTTTTATTATGATGCTCTCATCTCTGTCCCCTTGCAATCACAGTGACCTCCAGGGCCGATTTTCTCCCAGGGTTCCCCATTTCTGTAGTGTTGGCAAGTCTAGCTAAGGGCTGCACCTCTCCTTCTGAAGATCACCAAATCCGGCATTTCTTCTCTGGATTCATGTATGAATTCTTACGGCAATGAAAGGCTTCTGAAAACTCAGGGGAGTTCTGCAAAGTTCCAATAATCCTGTGAGACAAAAGAAGTTGCCGTCAGCATTTGATACTCAAGTGTGTACCATGTAGTAGTGTAGTAGCTTTTACAGAATTTCTCGATGTAGGCCAAGTGCCTGAATTTGGAATTTATAATATAAAAGGAAATAAAGAAACTGGTAGAATGAATCTGTTCTTTTCATTAATGGAATTTTTAAAGTGGAGAGGTAAAAAAGTATAGGAGTTAAGAGCAAAGACCTTGAAAACAGACTGTATAGTATGAATCTGGTTATGAGTTGTATTTATTCAGCCTCTCCGTGCCTGTTTCCTTTTCTGTAAAATGCATATAATAGTTCTTGCACCTTAAGGCTGTCATGGGGAGTTCATTTATAAACACCCTATATGTGTTCATAAAATAAAAAAACAATTCATATTTGGACTTGTAGTTATAAGAGTTTGGTCAAAGAATAACATCATGATTTTTCACTTGAAAGGGCTCACACACAATTTAAATATAATAGACTTTAAATAGATAATTGTTGATTTATTTTAATATGGAAAATAGCAATTATTTCCTTTTGGTCCAAAAGAACTCCATAGATATCAACAGCTGGATTCAGTCTGAGTAACTGGAAACAGCTGGCAAAGTGCCAACTTCTTATCTCCGACCCCAGTGGGCAAAGACAACACCGGCACCAAGCAGCATTAGAGGGGGAGACAGGTCGGTACAAGGATGCAGAGGAGATGCTTTCGCGTCACCCTGAGCCGCCTCCTTCCCTTTTCTCTCGCAGGGCCCATCCCGCCACACCCACCTTGGGCTGGGGGGAGGGGCCGGGAGGCCAACAGCCCAGGGTGGCAGGAAGACTAGGAGCCAGAGACCGAGGGGTATGCTTCCAGCACGGAGGCCTCCACATTCGGCAGGGGTGCGGGCATGCGTTCAGTCTCAGCCTTTCTCTCCCCTCTAACCCATTCTCCGTGCAGTGATCAGAGAGGTCTTTGACATTTGAATGAAATTCCATAGCTCCCTAACTTAAACCATTCCAGGGGCTTGAAGGAAATCCAGTCCCCTCTCTCTGGCCTCCAGCGTCCCAACGGCTCCTCATGGTGCGTTTCTCTTCTGGTTCCTCCACAGTCCAAACTACCTGACCTACGCTGCATTCCTCAGACCCACCAAGCTCCCGTTTCTGCCTTAAGGCCTCCACTTCTGCTGACCCCACTCTCTGGAAATTACTCCCCAGGGACTGACAATGGCTAACTCCTCAGCCTTCGTGCCTCTGCTTAAGCACGTCTTAGAGGCTTTCTTCAAACGCTGTCCACCTCCTACTGGTACGAACCCGATCATCACACGTATCGCGGTTGGCAATGATTTGTTCTCCTTTACTCTCTGACGTACCCACTATACTGTAACCTCTATGAGGCCAAAATACTGTGGTTTGCTCCCTGCTGTACTCTCAAAGCCTAGCTTGTGCTTTGCATATTGCAAAGCTCAGCACATACTGAATCAGTGCGCCTGCCTCCAGGCTGTGATTTCAGGTATAGGAGTAACAGAGCATGATGAAGAAAAACACTACTTAGCGTATTTGTTGTTTGTTACTATGGACAAACTGAGGGAAAGCAAGCAATTCCTTTCCCTATCCCCATTCCAGGAAAGAAAGATCTGTATCAAATTTCTAAAAGTCTGATGACCTAATGAGGCACTCAATATTACATCAATTACTTCTCAACCCCCACCCCTCCCCAACGCCTCCCCCAACTCTCCTATTCTTCAAGGAGGATATAAACTTTTGGCTGTATGTTTTTAAAGACTCCTAGAGGAGTCCTAAAGATTAAAAGGAATCTTCCTGGTATGGGGGTGTTGAGGTGGGGTGGAGGCCAGAGCTGAGGAATTTACATCTATTAGTCCACTCAAGAGGAAGAAGGCTGGCCTCCTTAAGGGTGAAGAGGGGCCCAGTAAGAGTGGCTTGTGTGAATGACAAGGACATGCCTCCCACTCTGAGCAATGCTTTAAAAGGGCCTCTGATAGGATGGCATGTGGCTGTCAGGGAGCCTGAACATCAAGGGTGATGACTTCTGAGGCTCTTGCCCTTGGCCACGGGAAGTAAACAGGGCCACCTGACATCAGATGGAGGCCTCAGACCACACGGATGTCAGCAATGACCATGGCAGGCTGGAGGTGGAGGCTAGTCCCTAATTTCTAGGCCCACATGCTGCCTTTGGATTCCTGTATAACCCTAGAAAAGAGTACATTGAGAACTACTGAAATTAAATATCTTACCCCCTGGTTTAGGGTAGGAGCAAAGAGCTTGAATTAATTTGATAAAATAATAATAATAATGATAACAATGTGACATTTTCTTACATCTGAAAGCTCAAAAACAAATTCACTTGATATATGATTAAAAGTGTTAATATATGCAGGAATAAAAAGATTTTAAGTACCAGGGATTTGTATTGTCTGTCATGTTAAGTTCTAGGTTCATGGACTTTAAGTTAGAGAGGAGCTTGATTCATTTAATCCAATCAATTCCCTTCCCATTTCAGGAAGCCCTATCCACAGGCTCAGGGGAGGTCATTATGGTGTCCTGACTGTCCCCCAAACTGAGGAGCAAGCTACCTGATGGACGGGAAAGTGTCTGGGTCTCACTGACTGGAAGAGCTGCTCTTTTTTGTTTTTATTTTATTAAAACTTTTTCAGAAGATCATGTCTGAGATGCAATCACAGGGGGGACAAGTATGTCAGCAAAAAGGTCCCAACTCATAACTTAATTCTACATTTGTCTTAAAAACGTAAAGGAAACTTTAAAAAACACAGCTCAAAAAGAGAAAGTCTTCACAAAACACCACTGGGAGTTGGCAATGTAGCAACATTAAACCTGATGCACTCTCTGCTCTCCATTTCCAGCCAAACGCTTCACTTAGATCATTTGATTAGGAATAATTAGGTCAATGATGTACCAGGGCTTCACTTACTTTCCTAGAACTCGAATTAGTATTTTGTTGTGTATAACATCAAAACTTTAGATGGATGACATAAATAATCTATTTCAAAAAGTGGACACATTATTAATAAAATGGATGTCTTCTCTGAGTGGGATCATATTTCATCAATAGTATATAGAATACTTGCATGAATTTCATGCTATATAAAAACTGTGTAGCTTTTGTGTTGGTGTTTATAATAACAGAAAATTTTTATTGACTATTTCTTAGAGATTTATTTGAAATTTTAGTTTACTATAAAATACTTCTGATATTTATTTCATTGACACTTGCATTAAAAACATAAGAGATACAGAGTTGAACATCATGCGACCAAGAATGGACTTTATATCCTGTAACGTGTCTGATCATTAACTGGATGTTTAAATCACTGAATGAACTTTTTGCAGTTAGTGGGTCCTCTGACAACCTTGTTACTTTTTTTAAATGAATGGCTTGGCTACAAGGTCAACAAGCTTCATTAATGAATAAACTATCCAATCTTTATCCATAACTAATGTCCATGATTTTCTTAAAGTAAGGTCACATTGATCAGAATATGTTCCACTATAAATTCACAAAAAATAAATACCTGAAGAGATTCCTAGGTATGGACTAAAGATTAGCAAGTGTTAACAGGAATTCTGTAAGGCTGGCCAAATCCAAACTGATATTTATAAAATATCAGAAACCAATACTGATATTTAAGGTAAATGGAACCAACATTAGCTTTTGAAAGAGGATTTAGCCTAAACATGCTAAATCAAAAAACAATAAAGAACAAAATAATCATATTACTCAAAAATGTCTACATAAAACACTATAAAGAATGTTATTTCAAAAAGTACTAGAAATTAAACTATGGAAAATATTTCCTGCATTATTGGTGGTTTTAGTTCTATCTAAAGTGCCTTTTTGTTCTGAGTGGAACATAATAAGCAATTTAAGCATCAAAATTAGCACTTTAAAGATTGGTATCATTTTGTCTATTTGTTTGCTTTCAAAAACTTAACAGACCCTTATATATTACATGGAACTATTACATATGAATAACTTTATAAACACATTTACAGATTATACAGTAAATACTATACAACCATTCCCTGAAATGATTGTGGATGGTTAACTAAAACCAGATTTCCAGAACAAAAAAAAAGTCATTTAAATTGCGGCTCCATTTCTAGAATATCAAGAGGAAATGCTTTTATTTTAAATACTAAAATTTTACAAGTTTATTATAAAGTACAAAAAACTTTAGTTAGGAAGAATAAAATAGTTATATCTTAGGCCTAACATGACGTTATAGTTCATCTTTATATCAAGTATATTTGGCTTTTTGTTTTTAACACTGTGGTTATTTAAGCATAAAGTTGCAAAATCTCCCTCTATTTCAGAAATGTTTCTACATCAACCACTATGCACAATTTTTCAAAAGCAACTCAATGTCTACCAGTTTTTAAGGTTCTTTAAAAAATATGTTTGACTTTCTTTGTAGAGCCAGGAAGCAGCCTGTTTCCAAAACTAAATGTAACCTCAACCTTTTGCCAAGGAAATCCCTTTACCTCCAGAGAAAATAGTAATTTCCTTGACAAAAGGTTGGTATTCCATTTACCCTTAAAAAACAAAAAACAGAAAACAAAAAAAACCTCACACACTTCTCTTATTATAAATGAAAAATAGTCAAGAGGCAGCTTTTGGACAAGAACAAAGAAAATGAAGGTTACAAATAATTTCACACCTTTATAACAAAATACATATTTTTACAAATAAAAATATTTGCATATCTATAATGAAATTATTTTTAACTTAAAATTGGGGGTAGAAAACAGTTGCATATTTACCTACACTTAACCAGTGATCTGTTATTGACATTTTGAATGATCTGGACATAACAAATGGGTGGCAGAAAACCCTTGACTGTCAGTTCATATGGAATGTTGCAAAGTCTATATACTTTATTCATACTAATTCTTATTCTATTCATATCCTCTTATCTAAAAATAACCTTGGTACTAATTTTCAAATGCATATATGTAATAAGCACTTCATATACATTAACATTAATCCTTCTAGCCACTCTCATGATAATTTAATCCTCATTTTACAGATCAAGATATTGAGACAAGAGGTTAATTACAGCTTGTAACTGGCAGAGCTGTGTTTTGGAACTCATTTCTTACTTCAAAGCTTGCATTTGTTTTTTACCATACAAGTGTAAGGAGACGTTTTCTGAGCTAGTCAGAATAAAAGAATGGAGTGGTGGAAGGCAGGCAATGTATACAAGGAAAGAGAATTAGGAAGAAACAAACAGAAAACCCTAACAAAAAGGCAAAACAAAAAACTCAAAAAGCATCCGCATGGGCAGATCTTTATTGTAGAGATAAATAGCTCCCCAATATTCTAGCTTTGAGGATGTCACCAAACTAATAAACAATGAAACCACTGTAATAGTCATAACAAAAGTCTATCATCAAAAAAAAAAAAAAAGGTTAGGTTTTGTTCAGGATATTGTGTTAATAAAGCAGGAATGTAGAAAATATACTTTAAACAAAGAAATTTTAATCCTGTGGTTAAGATAAAAGTGTTGAGACAAATTGTAGCTATCAAAAAATTAATTTGCAGCCCCCATTCTCTGAGGATGTCACCTGTACCAGGTATTACAATAATACATAGTTAAATTCACCAGTGTTTATGGATATATGTTTTTGTTCATGAGGGTATGGAAGGAAGAGCTTTAACAAATTAAGACTGCTATCATGGATTGTGTAGGCTTGTAATTGCTTTCTGTTATCCTCAGAATCAGATTCATATACCTTCACTTCTGAAAACTTCAGCAAGGAAAAAGACAACTTTTGAAAATTAAAACTACAAGTTACAAGTCCACACTATAATGGGAATTGATCCAGTGACTTGTTCATTGCCTAGAAAGCAGTGAATCTGGATCTTGGCAAGACCGATTTACCATGGATTATAAACATAATGAGCATACAATGAACAGTTGTTGAGTGACTGAATTTTGAAAGAACTGTTAAGACAAACACCAGATGATGATGATAACAATGATGGTAGCAGAACATGTCGAGTAAATTCTTTAAATTTTATATGTTCTGTTTTATTGCTTCATAATTAAACATGGTTTTTCCCCAGAAGAGAATGATCTGGGCAGAATGTTCTATTTTAGGGAGGGTTTTTAAAACCCAGCCCTTAGTTCTCTTTGTTCCCAAACTCTGTTTTCCAACCACTCGATAAATTTTTCAACTTTTTTTAGACATTGTTGCTAGAGAAGTGTTGTTGTTGATCAGGAAATAAGAGTTGAAGGATTATAGTACCTGGTGAAGGGGTAGCATTAGGAATTTAGTCCTAAATTAGATATACAGGGATCTAGGATTTAACATTTAAACAGTTTAGAGTGATTTTCTTTCAATTCAATGTTTTCTTAGACTTTCTGATTTGAGGAGGACTTCAGATATTTCCGACTGAACCTTCTGCTCTGCAAAACATTTCTCTCCAGCACCGCTGATGCGTTGTTCCCCTGGCCTCTGCTTCAAGGAACTCTCTCCTGAAGCTCTGGTGTTGACATTATTCTCTGTCAGACAACCTCTAATTATTAGAAAGTCTCCCTTTACATTCAACGGAAAGCTTTCTTTGGAACAGCTACTCAATGGTTCTAGGCCTAAGCCTTTCACAGCCTCTTAGAAATGTCTTTCTGCTAACTTTGAGTAGAGTCACTGTTCTGAGGTGACATCTTTACTGGTACCCATCAAGCACTCAGCCTAGGTCACATATATTCCGAAGATAAGAAGAGTCAAGGTTATGCTTGTGCAAACATGACATTTATCCGATGTGTTCTGTTGATCCTATCTATGACCCTCAAAAGAAAGAAAAAAAGAAAGAAGAAAAAACCCAAGACACTGACTTTACAAATTTTATAGAATCAGTTAGAAAAGGCCAATTTCTAGATATGGAAGTAATGGAGCCAATATTAGAGCACTTTGACTACTGTTTAAACCCACTCACCTGAAATTGCCTGGACTGTGAACATCTGTTTTAATGGAGTTGACTGCATACTCTGGCCTATAGGTCCCACACCACACCTGGGGGTGGGAATAGAAGAATGAAAGCAGTGTGCTTAGGTTCAATTAAGGATTGTTTTGGGGGGCAGGCTGGGAGTAAGGCAAACTTCTTATTGCAAAAATTAAGTTGGAATACTGCATTCCCCAAACATTTACTCTTAAAATAATGTTCAGTGATAGTCAATTAGGAATATAATTATCATTAATATGATCTGACAGTTTGTTATACATGATGAAAGTTAGTCAAGTCAAATGCTCTGCTATAATTGATTAAAACAAGAAAACTCAGCATACAATATCTAACTTACTATGAAATTATAACTCAGAATGATTTTCATATCCATCTATCAATCGAGAAAGATACAATACCTGGGCAAAGTTTAAGAAGAATAGTTGTTTGTGATTTAGGTCAAGTCCAGGAAGTAATTTTTCTTCACCATTCTTTTTAACATAATTTTGATAGGCCTAGGCAGTAAAAGAAACAAAAACATGATTAAAATTTCTAAATTTATATATAAATCTATGCAAAGGACATGCAACAGAGTAATTTATCTTTTATATCAGAATCACCATAATAATATACTTAGATATGGCAAACTAAAATTATTTCACAGATTAGGAAGAGTACTAGAATTTACTTACAAATGCTCTAAAAAGAACAGGGTACTGATTAACAGATGGCAAGAACCTAGCCTGTTTCAATCATGTATACTGATCAATAAATGTCAGTTAAATGAATAGATGACTTAAACAAATGATGAAAAAACTTACCTACTTGTTGTTCTATAGATAGATGGATAAGCCTGGCTAGTTGAAAGGAAAGATTGCCAAGGGAGTCTGTAATTGCTATATTTAGTTTAGTCACTAGTCTTAGCAAAACAGATTAACACTAGATGTCCTTTGAGTGATTCTTGCCAAAAGTTAAGGGATTCTCTGAAGATCCCTTAGAGGCCTGGTATCCTATGATTCCAAGATTAAGGATTTGCTATTATTTTAGCCCCCAGAAGACAAAGGCAAAACAGACTGAACCTCAGTTACATGAGGAAGAAGGAATTTAGGTTACTTGAAAGTCAGAAAATGTTCTTAATTATTAAGAATTTATGGACCCTATTGAAAAATGTAGGTTTCCTCTCCTAGATATACTTAAGAAAGGGATAGACAACACACTTTCTGAGATGTGTCACTCCCAATTTAATAAAGTGATCAATCAGTTAAGCCAAAGATACATTTCATTTCTTCCTACTTGCTATAAACATAGATTTATTGAGTCTCTACTATGCAGAGATCCTGGGGATATGGGGAAGACTTGAGCCTGCTCCCTCTTAGGGAGCTCACAGACTATCAGGGGGACAAGACATTCAATGTTGTGATTTCATATGTAATAAAATACTTGCACAATTATAATTTGCTTCACTTTAATAGTTCTGCACTTGTTTTAGGTGAGGATCTATATAGAAGTACCATTAACTCACATTTTGGCCAGATATTTATAGCCAGTGACCCTTAATCTGGCTAAATATTAGAATCATGGGAGTATTACCCAATGCCTTCTACCTACAGGCATGATGGACTGACAGGGACTGGATTTACCCTCCTGCTGAAACAACCAAATGATGAACAAAATATATGAATGGATGGCTTGCATGACCCTGGACATTAGGCAAAAAGGAGAGTGACCTCTGTTAAGTGGTAAACAAATAAGATGAGCCCTGTGATTGCCCCAGCTTATTGCCTTGAGCACTTGTAGGCTACAGTGGAGAAGGGAAACTCAGTGGGAGCCTGAGGGGTTCCTTGAATTGAGGAGAAGGAGCTGAGGGTTCAGGGACCCCAAGAACAAGGTGCTGAAAAGGAGAATCTACAGACAGAGAATCTCAAGAGATTAGATGGCCCACCAAGTATTCAGCTAAGTCTGTGAGTATGTGTATGAGCAAACCACTCAAGACTAGGGAAGGAACCACACAACAGGATTAGAGATAAAAATGCCTGGTACTCACACAAGTGAAAATGGAAGACCTCAAGATTCACACAGCAGGGTCTTGCCTCAGCGGTGGAGAATGATTTTCCCTAGGCTGAGCACTACCCTAGCTCTAGCTAACAAGCTGTAAAAGCAAGATCCAAAAGGATCAAACCATTTCTCAGGATGTAACTGTGTCCTAGAATAAACCTCAGGAATATTTATAGAAAACCCAAAAAATCTAGCCCCCAAAGAGGTAAAATACATAATGTCTGGCAGCCAGTAAAACAATTACCGAGGATTCAAAGAAGCAGCAATCTACCATCCCCCAGGACTAGGCTGGGGGTCATTCCTTTGGAAACTTTGCAACAAGCTGAATCTTCCAAGCTTCACAGTCTGACCGTCCACAGTCATTGCCAAGACACAGGCTCACCAGTCATCTTTCCCACACTGCTCTGATGCTTGCCCTTCCCTGACCCAATCACTGAGACTCTACTCCTTTCTTCTAATCTAAACATTTTTATGGTGGACAAATAACATCCCCTACATCTTCATCTACTCCATGGAACACGCCTTCTGTCTTTGTCTTAGAGGAGCCTGGTTCTATCCTGAAGAAACACCTTTGTTCCCTGTACCTTCCCAAGTAAGCCCTTCTTATTGTCCCACATGTGGGCTACTTCCCAGTTTTAGGAAGCACTCAAAACTACCCACATTCCACCTTGTTGTTTCTAAGGCCACTATCCCTCCACTCTTTTGTGGAAACCCCTTCTTTTTCTTATGCACATCATCTACTAGACAATCTTTGAATCCTTGTTCAAATTATCAGATAATGACATCTTTTATGGAGGGTTTGCAGCTGTATCTCCAGCACTGAGAATAGTACCAAACATGCAGTACAGCCCTCAACATGTATTTGTTGACCACAAGACTCAGTGGAAGGCTAAATGAGATTCTAAGGAATGCTTTATCAGTATGCTCCTCTGGGCATAGAAGTTTGTAAGATTGCAAGGCCATATGCTGAAATCCTATCACTTCAGTCCCTCATTGCATCATTGCAACTGGATGGTGGTTTATGCTGATTATTGTTCCCAAATACTGTGTGTATTTCACCAGCTGTGAAATGGAGAGTCCTGTTTAGTGCATTGATCAATGACTCTGAAATAATCCTTTTTGTGGGGCATCTACTCCAAAAAATTTATTTCAGAGATTACTTCTTAGAAAAATGTTGCCTCCTATGTGGAACTTGCATAACTCTTCATTTCTGCTGATACAACATTCTGTGTTTCCTCTTCTCCCTGACCTCTTGGAACCTTGGAGTCTGCTGTTCAGCTTGACCACTACTGGGTTGCCTCTTCTGGTCAGCACATTTATAACCCCTTTTCTCTTTGTGTATTTTCCATTTTCAATTCATCATTTATTTCTTAGATTATATGTGTCTTATGTGTCTTTTGCAAAAGGTTTTGAATGAGTAATTAAATGTGCAAAATATACACTCAAACCACTGAAATGAAGAAAGTATTAATACTCACTCTGTATGCTTGGCCAATACCTCCATTATCAGCAATGTTTTCTCCCAGTGTATTAATTCCATTGAGCTGTTAAAAAAAGGAAAATAGATGCTGAAAAACTCTAAACTGTTGTATTGTTAGGAAAGCATCAGTAATTCACTTGAGATTGAATATATGAAAACTTTCCAAGAGGATGCTGATGACATACATGTTGTCCACCTGCTAGGTCCCAGGAGAAGTTTCCATACTGGTACACCATGCACTGGGATTGGTCTTTAAAATTATTTGCAGATTGTTGAGTCCACCAGTCAACAAGGTCTCCATCCTTGTTAAAATTTCTTCCTGGAATATATTTATTTAAGTAAAATGGAAATGCATTATATCAAGAATTGCAATAAGATACCTTAATTCAAAGTGCAAGGACTGAAATACCACTGTGTGTGAGAACATTAAATTGGACAGATGATGAGGGAAACTTCTTTCTCATCCAGAGTTGATGAACCTGGACTGCCGGGACCTGCTTTGCTGATAGGCCTTAGTACTATGCAGACATTTCACCCACTTGGCTCTTGACATCTCAGCCGAGGCCACCAGATAAACCATTCCTGAAATCATGCCTTGTTTCTGTTGGATGGTTTTCAGCTGAACCAAGTCTATTTAAATTGATGTTTTGAGATTTAAAAAGGTCAATATTTTTATTCTGGCACTCACTGCATGTCTTAAACCCTTCATGAGACATTGTAGACTCAGAGTTTCCTTCTGCTTCAAGCAGAGAGAGTCGCCTTTCCTCCTGGAACTTTCTGGCTTATGCTAAAAGCACTGATCTTTCCCTTTTCTGAGCTACAGTGGCATTTATATATATCACATGTTTGGACACCTAATTTCACCATGCATTTAATAGTTTCTATGATTAGTGAGTAAGAAAAGGTATGAAGACAAACTACCAGAACTCACATCCTGGCTCTACTGGTTCCTAGTTGTGTAACTTTGAGTAAGTCTTTTATGTGCCCCTACTGTTTTTCTGTTGAAAAAAAAAATGGAAACACTATTAGTACCTAACTGTGAAGACTATGGTATAGTTTAAGTTAACATACACTTAGTAACTCCTTAAAATTGTACCCTTCCTGTTTCCTTTTCTTTCTTTGGCTCTAAAGTTGGGTCTAGTTAAATTCAAAAAGATATATGCACCCCCTATGTTTTCTGCAACAGTATTTACAACAGCCAAGATACCGAAGCTACATGAGTGCCCATCAATAGATGAAAGGATAATGATGTAGTACATGTATAAAATAGAATATTACATTAGTTAGCCATAAAGAAAGCATCACATCTTGCCATTTGTTACAACATGGATGGACCTAGAGGGTATTATGTTAAATGACATAAATCAGAGGAAGACAAATATCACATGATTTCACTTATATGTGGAATATAAAAAAGTAAAACAGATGAACACAAATGAAACAGAAATAGACTCATAAATACAGGGAAGAAACTGGTGGTTGCCATAGGAGAAAGGGGAGGGGAAAGGGGATAGATGAAATAAGTGAAGGTGAGAAAGAGGTACAAATTTCCAATTATAAAATAAATAAGTCATGGGGATGAAAAGTACAGCATAGGGAGTAAAGTCAGTAATATTATAATAATTTTATATGGTGATAGATGGTAACTGTACTTATTGTGGTAAGCATTTCATAATGTATATAATTGCCAGATTGCTATGTTGTATACCCCAAAACAATATGATATTGTATATCAACTATACTTAAATCAAAAATAATAAAAGAACATGATAGAATTTTCCCAAATTTAACAGTCCTAAAAATTGCGTATTACTGATAACAAGCTGTGAAGCTAAAGAAATATTTCTAAGTTATCAGCAAATAAAAACCAAATGTTGATAAATTTTAAAAAGATAAAGTTTGGTCTAGTTAAGGCTTAATTATTTTCACTGAATTATTTTCTTCCTATTTTTTTTTCCACTTGAAACCTGATCTTTGTCATAAGATCAGCGATGACCTCTTTACATATCTCATGTATTTATTTCTATTCTTCTCAAATGTCATTGAAACTTTGTCTTTTTTGCCACTTGGGGTAGCACGTAAACATTTAGAAGCCTATTGTTCGCAAGTCCCTGAACTAGGCAGTAGGTTTAAGATGCAAACAAAGAAATAAACAAAATAAAAAATGAAATGCTTGACCACAAGCAGTTTAAGAGTCTTATGGACACAGTACTTTTTGAATATATATCTGATTTGGACCTTGCCTGTAGAAGTCTGGAGGGATAAGACATAAACAATCATGAAATAAGACCAAACATTATCATTGTTGACAAACATCACGTTTTCTCAATGTGATATTTGTTGTATTCTGTCAGAGTATAAATCACACATTGCTGATCTCACTAATAGAAATTTCTGATCTTCCTGAGCAACAATTTAAAAGGAACACTAAATGTGATTATTAAGCCAATGATACTTATGAATTAATGTGTTTTGTATAGATAAATTGTAGGTATTAAGCAAGTTTAGTAGGACATATCTCAGCCACAGGAAAGAGGCAGCTGCACTGTACCATTGTCATCGAAGCCGTGGGTGATTTCATGTCCTATGACCATGCCGATGCCCCCATAGTTCAAGGAGTTAGACTGCTGGGCACTGAAGAACGGTGGCTGTAGGATGCCAGCTGGGAAAACTACAAGGAAAGAAGATGGTTCGAGGTCATTAGTGGCATTATTCTACGACAGCAGGCCTGGGGTTGGCTTCTTGCTTGCACAGCTGTTTCTAGTATGTTAGTTTTACTTAATAGTATACAAAAATCTTCTGTGATATAAGAAGAATGCAAGTCTTTTATTATTGATGAAAACAAAGAGTTTATCCCAAAGTGGCACCATAGTTTATGATCTATACAGGTATACCTTGTTATATTGTGCTTCACAGATATGGAGAATTCTACAAATGGAAGGTTTGTGGCAATCCTGCGTCCAGCAAGTCTATCGGTGCCATTTGACGGACAGTGTTCGCTTGCTTTGGCTCTCTGTGTCACATTTTGGTAATTCTTGCAATTTTTCAAACTTTTTCTCTATTATTTTATTTGTTATGGTGACCTGTGATCACTGGTCTTCAATGTTACTATTGTTATTGTTTTGGGGAGCCACGAACCATGCCCATGTAACAGTGTGAACTGAATTGCTAAATGTTGTACGTGTTCTCACTGCTCTACTGACTGGCCATTCCTCTTTCTCTTTCCCTCTCCTCCTTATTTCCTGGGACACATCAATATTGAAATTAGGCCAATTAATAACCCTACATGACCTCTAAGTGTTCAAGTGAAAGAACAGTATTATGTCTTTAGCATTAAATCAAAAGCTATAAATGACTAAACTTACTGAGGCAGGCATGTCAGAACCTGACATAGGCCATGCTAGGCTTCTTGCACCAAACAGCCAAGTTGTGAATGTAAAGGAAATTTTCTTGAAGGAAATAGAAAGTGTTACTTCAGTGAACACATGAATGAAAAGAAAATGAAACAAGCTTTTTGTTGATACGGAGGATTTTAGTTGTCTGGATAGAAGATCAAACCAGCCACAACTTTCTCTTATGCCAAAGCCTAATCCAGAGCAAGGCTCTACCTCTCTTCAATGACATGAAGGCTGAAAAATATTAAGAAGCTGCAGAAGGAAAGTTTGAAGCCAGCAGAGGTTGGTTCATGAGGTTTAAGGAAAGGAGCCATCTCCATAACATAAAAGCACAAGGTGAAGCAGCCAAGTGCTGATAGAGAAGCTGCAGCCAGTTATCCAGAAGACTGAGCTAAGAAGATAATGAAGGTAGCTACACTAAACAACAGAGGTTCAATGTCGATGAAACACTTTTTGGAAAACAGTGCCATCTAGGACTTTCACAGCTAGAGAGGAGAAGTCAATGCCTGCCTTCAAAGCCTTAAGAGACAAGCTGACTGTCTTGTGAGGGACTAATAATGCAGCTGGTGACTTTCAGTTGAAAATGCCAGTGCCCACTGACAATCCTGAGAATCCTAGGACCCTTCAGAATCATGGTAAACTACTTTGTCTGTGCTCTACAAATGGAACAACATGGCCTCTATGACAGCACATCTAGCTTACTGAGTATTTGAAGCCCATTGTTGAGACCTGTTCAGAAAAAAAGATCTTTTCAAAATATTACTGCTCACTGACAATGACCTGGTCACTGAAGAGCTCTGATGGAAATATCCAATGAGATTAATAGTGTTTTCATACCTGCTAAGAAAATATACATTGTACAGCTGCCAGTGGCTCAAGGAGTAATTTCAACTTTCAAGTCTTACTTAAATAAAACAAAACACATTTCATAAGGCTATAGCTGCCATAGACGGTAATTCCTCTGATGGATCTGTGCAAAATAAATTGAAAACCTTCTGGAAAAGATTCACCATCCTAGATACCATGAAGAACATTTGTGATTCATAGCAAGAGGTAAAAATACTAACATTAGCAGGAGTTTGGAAAAAGTTGCATCTAACCATCATGTATGACTTTCAGGGATTCAAGACTTTAATGGAGGAAGTCACTGCAAATGTGGTGGAAATAGCAAAAGAATTAGAATTAGAAGTAGAGTTTGAAGATGTGACTGAATTGCTATAATCTCATGATGAAACTTGAACAGATGAGGAGTTGCTTTTTATGGATGAACAAAAAAAGTGGTATTTTGAGATGGACTCTACTCCTGGAAAAGATGCTGCAAAAATTGTTGAAATGACAACAAAGGATGTAGAGTATCACATAAGCTTAGTTGACAAATCAGTGGAGGGTTTGAGATGATTGACTCCAGTTCTGAAAAGTTTTAATGTGGTTAAAATGCTATCAAATTGCATCAAAGAGCATGCTACAGAAATCTCTTATAAAAGGAAGAGTCAGTCCACAGGGCAAAGTTCATTGCTGTCTTTTCAAGAAATTGCCACAACCACCCCAGCCTTCAGCAACCACCAACTTGCTGAAAGCTCAGATGATGGTTTTACTATTTTTTGAAACATTTTTGAAACAAAGTATTTTTTAATTAAGATATGTACATTGTTTTTATTTAGACACAATGCTATTGCACACTTAATAGACTACAGTGTAGTGTAAACATGGCTTTTAGATGCACTGAGAAATCAGAAAATTAATTTGACTTGCTTTATTGTGATATTTGACTGTGGTGGTCTGGACTGAACCTGCAATATCTCTAAGGTGTGCCTGTGATCGTAATTTACTTTATAGTCACTATTAAGATTGTTTTCTGCTATAATGAGTTCAGGGCAAGAGAAATGATCATCATTCGGAAGGCCTTTCCTATTGCAAATATTTGGGAGAAATAGTTACTTAATAACACACATATTACTTTTAACATTATCTCTAAGATTTTATCCATCATCAATAACTTATTAAATAAACAGAGTCACTCACTCAAAGGTCTCCCCCAATCACATAATCCCACTTTCTTTCCATCAAATATCTATGACTTTTTGTTAACATCCTTATTTATGGTTGTTGTCCTTTTATTTTCTTGTCTGCCCTGCCCTTCGGCCTCTCAAATATTACCCCTTTCAGGGCAGAGATTTGTATTTCTGTACATAATTTGTTTATTTATTTGTTTTTGAGCCCATTTGTTTCCTTAGTTCATTATTAACAGCACCTAAAACTAGCATGGTACCTGGAACATGATAGGTGCTTAAGAAATGTGTTGAACAAATGAATAACCAATGATAAATGAACAAATAAATTAATTTACCATTATGTCCTAAAGACTTTGGCAAATAAATAATAGTTTTCTTATGTCTTCCTTGACGTCTTTATAAATCTGGTAACTTTCTATAGTGAGATGTCTCAGAGACTCTTTACATTTCATGTGTCAAATATCAAACTCATTTCCCCCTGTAAGCCATCACTCTCTTGACTTTAATATTTCTGTTAATGGCATTTGAAAGTTCTCAGTCACCCAAAGCAAACATTTTCTACTCATATTTTTTTTTGCAAAGATGCCTCCACTCTTTTTACAAAGTCTGATACAGTCTACTTAGGGAAAACCTGGGTCACACACCTTCCTCCAGTAGCATCCTTTCTGTTTATCTCCTTTCAAACTCATTTCTTACCTTAAGAATTACTGAATTTCCTGAGTGGTCCTCCTGCTTCCTGTCTCACCCAACTATACTCTATCCTAAACCTAATTTATCCTGGAGGCAGATTAAAGTGCAGCTCTGGTCATTATCATTCCATTGCTGAAACCCATTGGACGGCTTCTCCCTGCTTTCTGGCTAAATGCAGCACCTTCTCTCTGGCCTTTGACTCCCTGCTTGTCTCTTATTTCTTCCCTTGCCTCATGCCTCCCCCTCCCTCATAATTTAGTAATCTGTCTTTCAAGTTTTAAATGCTAGAATTCACTGAACAACTGAAACTATATGTTCTATAATTGGGAAAAAAATCTTTAGTATCAACACCTGTTACATGCAAACCCCTGGATCATTGGTAAGTGGGATACCAAGAATGTAAAAGAAGGAGCCCTGAACTTAAGAAGTTTAAGACCTAGTTAACACAGAGTAGCCAGTGTTCCTTTGTCTTCTGGTAGGGTGAATATGACATAGCCTTGCATGTTATAAGGGATATATATTAGGTATTTACTGACGAGACTTTAAAAATACTCTGGTCAATTTAAGTGCTCAGACTTTAAAATAAATCTGGAGAGTTGCCATAACATTCAAAATGACAAAATAATAAAGAAGTAAAAACTTTTGTCCTTGGAGAATTTTGATGACAGTTATACCTCACATGTAGCTGCCTGAGCTATCAACAGTGCCAGGAAATTATTTTTAACTTAAAGTATAAAAATTATGTGCAGTACTTTATTAACTGAAAGTGAACACTATCTCCCACACTATGTACTTTGATTAAAATCCACCCATTATATAAAATACTCTTATGAAATGTGCTATCAAGACTAAACATTAACTGCAAAGATCCTGCTGCTTTAATTATACCCTGATGTGCCATTCTTCAGGCAACTGATAAGATTTTTATGGCTCATATTAAATACTAGTCTTCAAATTCAGCTTTGCAAATTATGATTTCTTTTACTTTGTCAGCTAAATCTTCATGATGAAGATGTCCCCGTTAACCTTATTGCTATTACTAGTAGACTTCCAACTGTTGATAATAATCAACAGCTTTGTTATGCATTTTTTATGTTCATGATTGTCAACAATTTAGTTAATTAAACAAACCACTGGCCCATGAAACAAGACAGCTTCTTCCTACTTGCCACCTCTTCTCTTCCCTAGTTTATTTTTTAAGGCTGAAAATAATTTAATTTTAGAATTGATATAAAGCTCAAGATTACAATCAGGTAAAATGAATTTTTTGGTGGGAAAAAAATTAAACATTCTTTTTTATATTAAGTGGAACAGCAGTATCTTTGGGAACATTTACTCTTAATTTTCAAGTCTAAAAATAAGATTCCTAGGAATGAGTAAGACAAGTTTAGAAAATTAAGTATATCAAGGTAGTCATAGACCACCCAGGCTGAATATACTAAATAACCCATAGGATTTCCTAAAAAAAAAAGTGTGATTGTTAGCGAGAAAGGGTAATGTAGCAGTAATAAGATGTCCCATCTGACTTGATCATTTCCTTGGATAAGACTTTAAAGTTTAATAAGATTACTGAATAGTGCCTGGAACTTAAAGAGAAACATTTGACAAAACATTCCAATGCAACTTTCCATATGGCATGGAAGGCTTCTGTGCAAGGAACAGGAGCCAATGAGTTAAACACTTTTGGTATGACTTCCTGTCCTGGAAGTTGATTTTTTTAAATTAATGTGCAGTTGTGGGGATGCATAAAAAATTGGAATGTAGCCTACATGTGAGTTATGACAAAAAGTGGTGGAAATTGAATTGAAAAGTAGAAATTATTAATATAAACAACTGTTTATATTCTAATAAAAAAAGTTCTTTTTTGCCAAATATAAAAAGACCAATCCCATAAGAAACTGTATGTGATCTACTTTAGGGTATTTGTGTGAATATGGGAGGGTCATTTATGAGATGTGCTATTCTATACCAATTCTAACTATGTAATGCACATTACATCAAATCCACTACAACAGTTTTACAAAAGTTATATATCTGTGTATGTGCGTGCGCACACACACACACACTTCTATCAAGATGGAGATCCAGATCTTCAATTATTTTTAGTAGAGACAATCATCACTTTGAAGATTTAAATAAATTGTCAAGGAGAAAATGTACACATGTCAAAGATTTCTCTTGCATGACACTTCCCCTTTGTCTGAACTGCTTTTCTCAGGATAGAAGCATATGAAAAAAGGCTAATAATTTTCAGATTCCATATTTCCATCAGATGAATTTATCTGGAGAATCTTTTAAAAGGTCCTTCTATTATGAATGCTTATAATAGCCTCTTGATTATTCAGATGATAATTGTCTACTTTGTGAAATGTTAGGCCACTTTTACCTTCTCTTTCCTTTTATTATGTGCTTGTTTAAAGTTTGGTTTGAGGGTATTAAATTCAAAACAAGAACATTCCAAGGTCTTCTTTAATCAAGGACTCTCTGAGATATACCAATTGTCCAGCCAGCTCCCAGGATATGGGGCAATTCAGAGCCAAACAAGGTCCTATCTTAACCTAAACTGCGTAGACCTGATCTAGAGAAGGGATGAAAGGATGAACATAGCAGAACAGTCCTGAAGAGGGTCTGTCTGCTATTCTTGTTGGGGTCAATTAATACCAAGTCTGATAGGGCCCACGCTCTTTCCTGATCTGGATTAAAATGAAGCTATATATCTGAGTGTGTCTTAATGTGGAACCAAAGTGCAGGCTGCCTCACTTTGCTTTGGGATTCCATTAAAGGTTCCTTATCCTGTTTAAGTCCAGCATGAACTATGTCTTACCCCGACGGAACTACTGAATATCAAAAAGAGGTCTTCAAAGTAAAGTATCTCCAGAAATAAAGGCACTTCTAAGAAAAGGTCTGAATGGTCTCTAGGGTGATAGTATAAAGGGTGGAATGCATGGATTCTGAGTTGATCATTAAATAGGCTCATCATTTCATTAGCTGAAAAAGGTATTACCCTAAACTTTGAGCCAATTGATTTTAACCTAATGTACATGACTTACTTTATCTGCATGTTTTATAAAGACAACCTTTTCTGATTACTTTATATAATTCATTTTTATTTTTGTAGCAGAATAAATTCCAGATGGACTAAAGATTTGCTCTAAACATAAAAAACATAAACATACAAGAAGAAAATGTAGATAAGCACTTATTTGAGCTCTTCCTAGGTTTAAAAAGTAATTAGGAAAGATATAATCAAATTTTAAGAGTTGTAATTTCTTTTAAAGTTTGTTTTTTAACCAATGGCAAAAATCTCACAGGATTTTCTCATCATTTCTTATCTAATTAGTAAGAGAATTCAAGAAACATGAAGCTAAAGGCAGATTCTGAGATATAAAAAGAATAGTTTAGAATAGTGCTGAAATGATCTTCCCTCTTGATTTCTCACCACATTCAAAAGACAAGGGCTTGGACTGAGTATGTGGAAAAACTTGCTGTACTACTTGTTTAGAATATCTTTGGTAGTATTGAATCAGTTGGGTGCTTTACTATGTACTAAAAACTGGTGGGAAAAAAATGGGTCCATTTCTGTGATATGTAACAGAGAGTTTAAAGATGTCAAGGTCTTCCCAGAAGAGAAAAGGTGTATCTTTGTTATATCAAGCCATTTAGCTATTTGTCATATCATCCACTCATGTATTAATTTTTGTGTATATTTCTGTAATATTAGGGTAAGTGAACACATGAATATTTTTTAGATCAAAAGTGGTCGAGTAAATATAATTTCACATGGTTTAATTCTATTATGATGAACTTTTCTGAGGCCTTTGGAGTCTTCAAGAAAAAAAAATAAGCATGATGCAGAATAGGACCATCTCCACTAGAGCCAGTGTATAGAATTACTAGAATCATTGGATCTCTGAAAAGTTGATTCCTGGAACCTAAAACAACTTTACAATGATTATGCTTAGAATGCCCTAAAGTCAGCATAACCTTATGGAGACATAAGGCACTTGAAGAAAGTATTTAGAAATAAAATAAAAGTATTTTGAAATAAGATAAAACATTTAGCTACAAATTAGAATATTGTAAAAGAAACAAAATCACTGGATGTGCTTTGTACTAATTTAAAATTTTGCTATTTTAGTGAAAAGAGGTACATGGATGCATGTATGTGTGATAAATAAGCCTGAGCTTTGCTTTCATGGGGAGTACTACAAATTGGTCATGGAATTCACTACAGGTTGCAAACAATAGAAAAATATTAAGAAATTATTTAGGAATAAATCTTACCTATCTGATTTCTGCCTGAAGAATAAAATGCATTGACTACAGCTGCTCCACTTATCCACCTATAGAAAACATAAGAACTGGTTACAAAGGATACAGCATTACCTGATTCAACTGCTCACCATAATTAAAGCATCATTACTATTCCTAGATGAATCTTAACATTCTATTTGAAATGTGATCAACAAATTAAAATTAGCTCACTAGGTGACAGAGCTCATTTGAAAGTATTTCCACTTCTTAAAAAAATCAGACTATATCCAGGTCTGCAATCTGTTATTTCATTTGCATGACTTTTTATGGAGGCATCTGACAGTATGAAACCCATTCAAGTGTGTCTTATCAGAAATTGCAGTGGATTAAGATAATATTGAAATATGTTTAGCTTTATGTCCTGATAGTAGATAACTATGTCAACAATTCTGGAGAATATTGAAGTATAGGTTGTTAAAATTTCAAAATCAAATATATTAAGATTTTTTTACATTCCTAGTTTACAAAGAGCCTTTTTGGGGACTAAGATATCCCCTTGGTAGGTAGTTAGCTTCGTGTAATGTGCTTCTAATTACTGTCATTTAAAACTATTATTTAAAAATGTGATATTTCAGCTAATTGTGCAAAGGTGTGGTTTTATATGACAACTGTGAAATAAAATCCAGTAGATTTGTCTGTGTATACCACACATTAGGCTCTATTGAATCTAGCGATTCTATAAAATACAATTACTGATTTTAGAAGACTCTAGTTTAATTGAGGAGATGAGAGGGACACATAAAAGCTATAATGCAAGACAATAAGAAAATGGAAAAAAGTAGCTCCCAGACAATAGTTCAAGGGCAGTGTTAAGGTAGAGCTGATGTGTCAATGTTCCCAGGTCTTTCTGCTCAGAAGTTATGAAGACTGCATATCAATAATTGTTGAGCACTTTGTGCAGCAGGAGTAATATCCTCATCTTTATAGTCTATTACACTGAAAAAATGAACTCTGCCTGATTTCAGATAACCTCTTAAATGTCAGCACACATGCATAAACTTCAGACTACTATCTATTACTATCCAACGGCTTTATTGTAGTTATTCTACTTTCAGGGACACAATTAGTGTGGCGATTATAATCCTACTTACAGAAGGAGTTTACAGTAGTTAATACAAAGAGACTAAATTAGAACTATTTCCAGACCTTGCTTTGCAAGGTAAACAGTACAAAGTCACTGCCTAAATCAGCATTTTAGCTACAATTTTCAGTAGCTACTGTGGGATGTCAGATGTGAGTTCCATTTTGATCTCTTAAAAATAACTGAGGGAAGGCCATACATAACAACTGTCTGATAAGTTTTCATTAACTATGGATTTTATCTCCAATAACATGACCAAAACATTCATATAAACTATTTGGAACTTTCAGAAATAATCCTGGTAACATTTCTGTGAATTTTTCTTTACAAAGAAAATAAGTGTGCAGATGGATGGTGTGGGTGTGGGAGTGGTTCATCAATGTGTTTCTTCTTTAGTATGATGTTGTTTTAAACAGAGAGAAACATTTTCAGACAGGATGGTGTGATGGATGTATCAGTGCTTCCTAATTCCATTACAACTGAGTCATCAATATTTTAATTTCTTGCATGTTGATGATTACACTCATACAATCTTATTTATTTCAAGTAAATTCCACTTGCTTCCCACACGATTTGTGATGACTCACAACAAAACATGGACTTGTAAATCCAGGGGTGTGGACTAAAACTGGGAGATCCAAACCTACACAGGACAAGTAGATTTTGTCTGTGTGATCCCAAAGTATGAGACAGAAAATATTTATATAAATAAAATCATGATCAGGAAAAATGATGTATTCGGACTGTGCTTATATACATTTACACAGTTAATTATGACTCAGGTTCAAGTAAGGTTCTAAGTTGTCTGGCAAAAGGGGCAAAATGGAAAAATGCTCATTGTACTCCTGAGGGGAAACGCTGTTCCTTTTGGGGACTTGAGAAAGGTATTTCTGATGCATCGTCAACATTTAGATGGGAATATGGCAGTAGACTTTAAGTGTGAACAGCTTATAATTATTGAAATTTTAATTTCCATAAAAGTTAATATGTTATCAGGTCTCAATTGTTTTAATGTCCAGTTTCTCAATAAGGAACTTTTGATTTAGTGATAGTATACTCTGCATGGACTTCTACGGACAATCTCAAATGATATGCAAAGTTTTTGATATTGAACTCAGGCACAATGCTAGTAATCACACATGAAAGAGTGCCAATCCAAAATGTTTTTTAAAGTAAGTATATTACAGAGGAAAGGAGCTAGATATATGGAATTAATGTTTCAGACAGCAACAGATCTCAAAAGTAGGACACATATGAAGTTTATATTACCCACCCTATGTTTATTGCTTTTGTAAAAATAAATGTCATACCTCTCACTTTAGGACTTTTCTACTATTCTGTTACATTAAGGAGCTGAAGATTGCATTTTGATTAATGTTTGTGACTTTCCAGCAGGAAGGGTTTTACATATTAAAGTGTTCACTGTGCCTCACCTTCAAGTAAACAGGTAGTTATTTATGACCACAGAATTCTCAAAGAAAATAAAAATTATGGTGCTGAGGTTCATAGAGCACTGGTGTGTAGTGTGTGCCTTTTCTTCCTTTAGATCTTTCACTGTGCGTCCTCAGACCACCCCTGGGTAATTACCCAGATTCAAAAGCACAGGACATTTTGTCCCTGGGAATGATCAGAACTTGAAGTACTGTGCTTGGATCATTATATCTTAAAATGATGGTAACACAGCTACAGGCTTAATGCTTAATATCTGTGGTCATTCATGAAATATCTCATCATGTTAATGTAAAAGCTAAATTAAGGCAAAGAAAACATTTCTCAAAATAAATGGTGATACAACAAAAACTAAGTTCTTTTGATTTGGATGCAGTTTTAAAGTTTCAGGAGAAGCTTCCATTTACAGAACACAGGCAAATCTGACCCTGAATAGCAGCACAGAAAAGAGAAAATGCACAGCAGGTAAGAAAACGAAATGGTGGTGATTCTGGCCCTAAACTAAGGGGTAGTCCAGGGTCCCTGAAGATACCTTTAAAGTGCAGAGGCCAGACACAGCAGCTTCCAAGAAGAGGCGTGAGGCCTGAGAGATGAAGAAACTATCACTCTGTTGTTTTGATTTGCACTCCTGCCTCTAGTAGCCTGTGTGGGTAAGACTGTGGGTATGTGTGGTATTAAATGAAAAGTGAGAAAGCAAGAAGTAAAATGTTATTTTTTTTAAAATTTCTGTGATATGATTTTGTCAGGTAAACTTACATTTTGGGACATTCCACAGTAGAACAAAAAAGGGGTCACCATAAGCAGCATGGCCCTCAAAGCTGAACTAACAGTGTGGACAGGAAATGTAAGGTGAAAGACCCTTGAGAGGGGGACCAGGTGTTTTTCTTCCACTTATTACTTGAAGAACCTAAGTGGTGATGAAACAAAAGCACCCAGACATCATTTTTACAGCAGGGAAGAAAAGCAGATGTGGACAGCATGATCTTACAGCCTTTTGGATATAAGAAACCCACTGGATTGCAAAAGTGCATGGAATAAAACTTGTTCACCCACTCAGGTATAACTTAAAACTTACAATAACAAAATTGTTGATATACCTTTCCCGGAAGTGTTCAGTTTCTCATCATCTAGAGGTCTTGAAGCAATTCATTTGAAATCAGCAGTATAAGATAATGGTTTTGTCTCCCTCAAATACCTCTGGAAAGCAGAATTCCCATTTTTTAATTGCATAATCCACTTATTAATATTGTCTTGTTGAGACCTCAAAGTTTTCTCTATACCTTTGTTCATCTTTTAAACCATCCCTCTAAGATAGATGACACCTCCAATTTTCAGCTGAAGAAACTAAGGCACAGCAGGGTTATCAAACTATTTTCCCTAATTTATAAATTAAACTTATATAATTTATAAGTTAAATAACAAGTGGGACAAACATGTGTAAACTAAGGAGAAAGAGGATCCTCTCATCTTCCCATCAAATCCCCTACTTCTAAGCTGTTCATCTGCCTCATACATATGATGTATGCCATTCACTACAACGATGAATGCCATTTCCTTGCCAATCTCTTTCAAATGAAAGAGCTTATTTTTATTTGTTTTTCAATATACCAAAATTGGTTATATTTATATACACTAGCAATGAATAATCAAAAAATGAAATAAAGAAAATAACTCCATTTACATTAGTACCAAGAATAAACTATTTAGGCATACACTTAACAAAAGAAGCACAAGACTTGTATATTGAAAACTCATTGAAAGATTAAAGAACACCTAACTATATGGAAAAGATGCCACTTTTGTGGATCAAAAACTTATATTTTTAAACTGAGATATAATTGATATATACCATTTATATTAGTTTCAGTTATACAATGTAATGATTTGATGTCTGTATGCACTGCAAAATGACAACCAAAGTAAGGTACTGCTTGTCACCATACAAAGTGACACATTTTCTTTTTTCCTGTGAGAATTTTTAACACTCCTTTGGCAGCTTTCAAACATGCACTGCCAGTATTATTCACAATCATCACCATGCTGTACATTACATCCCTATGAATTATTTATCTTATAATTGGAAGTTTGTATCTCTTGACTTTCTCACACCATATCACTCAATTGCCCCTCTCCTCTGGCAACCACCATTCTTTTCTCTGTATCTATGAGTTTTATTTTGTTTATTCATTTGCTTGGATTTTTAGGTTCCACATATAATTAAGATTAGACAGTATTTGTCTTTCTCTGTCTGATTTATTTCACTTAGTATAATACCATCATGATCCACTCCTGTTGTTGCAAAGGGCAAGATTTCATTCCTTTTTTTATGGATGGGTAATAGTCAATTGTATATGTATCTATTTGACATCTTCTTTATCTATTCATCTATCCATGGAACCAACACTTTGGTTATTTTTATATCTTGGCTATTATAAATGATATTGCAATGAATATAGGGACATATATCTTTCTAAGTTAGTGTTTTTATTATCTTTAGAT